GATCTGAGGCCTGGTCTGTGTCAGGGATTAGGACTAGCATGAGCTCTCAACTGTAAGCCCCATCACAGTGTTCTGAGGACATGTTCCCACCCATGCTTAACTGTCAGGGAAACAGCCTGATTGGTGAAGCTGCACAGCTCGTGTCGGAGGGCGGCATGGTGGTCTGGTCTGCAGGACTGCCTCTTACCACACAGCCAACTTTCCACCCGGAGAAAAGAAAATACCTGCCGTGCATCGACTAGCTGAAGCCAGAATCACACAGGTGGCAAAAAAAAATTCACCAGTAAGAAAGGCAGATTAATTAAGGGTAAGATACGTTAGTAGTGCAACAAAGGAAGGCTGTCTCTTGTCTGCTGAGAGGCAGGGGCTAAAGGGAAGTTTTATAGGGCTGTGTTGGGGAGTCTGTGTGCTGTGCAGGGGATCTGGAGATGGAAGTTGTGTACATCCTGTACCAGGGGTCTGTAAGACAGTTGATTGATTATGGTACTCTAAAACAGGGATAATTGCCTGGGCGTGGTGGCTCACGCCTGTAATCCCAGTACTTTGGAGGCAGAGGCAAGAGGATTGCTAGAGCCCAGGGGTTGGAGACCAGCCTGGGCAACTTGGCGAGACTTCATCTCTACAGTAAATTAAAAAATTAGCCAGGTGTGGTGGCATGCGGCTGTGGTTCCAGCTACTTGAAAGGCTGAGGCAGAAGGATTGCCTGAGCCAGCAGGTCAAGGCTGCAGTGGCCATGAGCATGCCACTGCACACTCCAGGCTGGGCAACATAGTGAGACCCCGACTCAAAAAAAAAAGATAAGGGTTAATTTACTGTAGTGGTCAACTGCTTTTCAGAACATTTACATCAGTCAGCTAAAAGTTAGATTACAATAGTGATTTACAGTGGTCAGCAAACTTCTACAACTCTCACTATGGTCAGTAAGTTCCTTGTAAATTTCACCCTGAGGCCCCTTTCCTCTGTATAATTTACCCAATTGTTGCTGGCCTCTTTGGGCCTTATGTTTCTCCATAATAAAGTGAACAGTGGTGTAGGCAGTCTTTCAGAAGGTAGTATGGAGTCCTGTATAAAAATCCTGTATTCTTAGCATCATAAAATGATTATAACTAACACATATTGAGTGATTACTACATGTCAGAACTAGTCTAAGCATTTTTTTTCTTAACCCATTTAAACTCACGACAGACAAAACAACTGAGACATGAAGAAGCTAATGCATTTGCTGGTGATTCATGGTTTACACAGCCAATTCTGGTCTCAGAAATTGTATTTATTAGGAGCCTATAAGGTTACCAGATCTTTGGGGATTATAGAAGAAACATAAATCCAGTGTTACCCCTTCGAGCTTCTGAAATTAAAACCCTTGAAACAATTAGACGTAAAGAGCCAAATTGACTGTTATCATATAAGGGTCATAGTTTCAGAAACCTAAAGTCAAGAGGCAAGATTTTATAAAGCATTTTACTTTCTGATTTATAAGCTGACTTAGTTATAAAGTTTAACTAAAATCTGTTTACTTATGCATTTAATGATTTTCTTTGTTGAAAAGAATAAAATCAGACCAGGTGTGGTGGCTCAAGACTGGCATCCCAGTACTTTGGGAGGCTGAGGTGAGAGGATTGCCTGAGCCCAGAGGTTCCAGGCCAGCCTGCGCAACTTGGCAAGACCTCATCTCTACAATAAATCAAAAAACTAGCTGGGTGTGGTAGCACACGCCTGTAGTTCCAGCTACTTGGAAGGCTGAAGTGGAAGGTTCACCTGAACCCAGCAGGTTGAGGCTGCGGTGGCCGGGAGCAGCCACTGCACTCCAGTCTGGGCGACAGAGTGAGACTCCAACTCAATAAAATAAAATAATAAAATGGCATGAAATGAGTATGATAAATGATTTCCATTCATAAGAAGTGTTAGTACCATGTCTTTCTTGTCTTTTTCACCTCATGGTCTCATTCTTGCAGTTCTCTTTCTACTCTTTTCTCATTTATTTCCTTAAGAAGAAAAAGTTAGGGGGAACCTTTAAGGTAGGAACAACGCCAACTCTTAAATAGTACACAGATTTGCAACCTCTGTCTTTAATGTCTTGCTAGTCTGGTTCTTGCTCACACCTCGGAGTGAGATGACTGGGGGAAAGTCCCCAGAAGGCTTTGGCCTGTGCGTCCACCTTAGATGAAGGGATGTTAGTTTCTCTAGGTGACCTTCAGATGTGAGATTGACACTGTTGATGCTTGGCTGCCTTGGGCTGTTTCCCCCAAAGCCCTTAGGTCTCCTGATGTCTCCTCTTCACACCCCATGCCTGCCCCTTCAGCCAAGGAAAACACCTGTGCATGTCAGGGCCATTGCCTCCTCCCTCCACTCACTGAGGACCTGGTACCCGGTTAATTACGTGACACAAGAATTAGTCACCATTTATTTTGGCTATACACATTTTGAGGACAAAACAAGGGAACTCTTCTTCCTCCCACCAAGAATTTCTTCCCATGCCCTCTTTGGGGAGAGGGAGGCCAGACAAAGCAGTGGTTGTGGTTTATTATTGCCAGAGTACACAATTAATTTAAATTAAATTAAAAGACTGCTCAGACACATGCATTCTCTGGAAAAGGCCGGAGGAAGACAGAATGTTCTTTCCCTCCTGTTCTCAGCTCCCTTCTGCTGGGAGCACTAGGCTTCCTTTCCAGGGAGCTTGCAGCTGCAAGGCAGCCTCCTGCTGCCTGTTCCACCTTCACAGAAAGCAGTTGACCTTAAACTGGAAATCCTCAAACCCGAAACCCTTTGCTACCAGTAGTGTCTTCTTCAGAACCTGCACCGTTATTCTTGCTTTCTTCTAGATGCAAATGTAGACTCTTTTGTATATCTTAGTAACACTGTCTTGGGACATGAATAAAATTTTAAATTCCTGGGTACTGTCATCTGTTTCCACTGTCCTTTTTATAAATTGGAGTGTGATTTTAAATGATTAATAAAATGCTGTGGTACAAGAGAAAAACAAGTTAAAGGAACAAAATAGCTAGTCTAGAAATAGAAGATTGTGATATATTTGGAAATCAATATGTATGCTATTTGTTCAATTTAGATTACACTATAAAATAAGAATCCTGAATCTGCTGCAGTGAATTTCTCTATGACTATTACTGCCTGCATATATAATTGAATCTCGGCATATATATATATATATATATGAAACTTACTTTCAAAAGGAAATACTTTCCTTAGAGTATGGCATGGCAAGGAAGCAGTACTGTTCCTAACAGTCCTCTCCAAAGTCCTTTAAAAGCTGAGCTTTGTGGCAAATTTATAATGAAAATGTGACGCTTTCACTTCCTAAACCATGACTTAATTTGTGATATAATTAAGGGCAATTAGTCCCCCATTACAGATTATAGTCCAGGTGAGGCTGAGTTAATAAATAGCTGTTTGCCACTAGCATTATCAAGGATGTCTTCATTAAGGTGGTAATGTGTCGGGAGGTTGCCATGGTATTTGTGGGTTTCAGCCTGGACTCTGGCTTTTCCTGAAATTAAAAACGTTCAGCCTCCAGTAAAGGGCACTTTCTTACCCAGCAAAGCAGACAGAACATTAAATAAATAGATGAAAGGAACAGGGCTCAGGAACTCAGTTGCAAACACTGATGAAAACATGGATATGTTAAAGTTAGTGTTGACTCTCACAGGCTTTGTTTAAAAAGAAAAGTTTTTTATGTGTATCTGTCTATGTCTATTCATCCATTCATAGGGACCATCCTCCATCACACAGAGAAGCTGCTGCTGTCCCGCAGAACTCCTACCCACACATGGGACCAGCTGACCCACAGGGATTAGGTCTTACTCATCTTCAAACGCACACAGCCTCGCACACAGCAGATGTTCAAGAAATGTTTGCTAAATGAACGTATAAATTCTACTTGCCCCTCAAGCCAACTCGGGCCAAAAGTCAGACATTCTGAATTGTGATTCTGCCACTGACCGAATTCTATAGTGTTTGAAGACAGCAGATTGTCCTCAGATACTGTGATGAAGTGCTTGAAAAGGGAGACTCAGTTGGCCTGTGTAGGAGCAAGGCCCTGTGGTTGGATTAACTCATGTAGTGGTTCTCAGAGTGTCCCTTGAACAGCAAGATTCAGATTCTGAACCTACTAAAGATCCTGGGTGACTTTTGGAAGTTATATTATTTCCAAAATTTTAGTCAACTGTTAGCAAATGATGATAGTATATTATCGATCTAAGTAATTCAGTTTCATTGTGAAAACATTAAATTTCAAAATCCTGGGGGAAAGCACCTTAACTGTAAGGCCTTTTTTAAAAAAAAAAACCTTTGTGCCTTCTGTGCTTATGTTTCATGCAAGTGTTAATTAGCAGAGAAGCGCAAAGTAGTCCCAAATCAGATGGTGGAAGGAACCAGAGCTGCCATTCTGAACTGTGTGTGATTTTTGATTAACCCAGTGGATGATTCTGAACACAGTCTTTTTTTTTCTTTTTACAATTTTCTCAAAGATCCATAATCCTATATGTCATCTTACCAGTTTAGGAAAGGGACTATGAAAGCTGTTGGGAAGATAAAAAATGACAAGAATTTTCTGACTAACCCTCAATTATTTGCAAGATGTGGCTAAAGAACACATCTAATTCTCAGGTGTCCTATTAACATCAATCTCCTTCATTGCCTAATGCGTAGGAGAAGGTGAGTTTGCACCATCAGATTATATGGATAGTACCATTATGAAAAACTTGAAAATTCTGTTTTTATTAGTATATAAAAACATGAACAACTGATGTTTCTAGAATCTAGACTCTAAAAGAATCTCATTTCAATCTTTTTATGTGCTTAAATTTGTGCTTTTCTTTTATATTATCATGCATTAGACATTAAACTTTGCAACTGGTTGAATGTCAATTCAGACTCTACGAAAAGCATTTTACCAAACTGGTCTAATTAGTTCCACTAGTTTTTTTCATATTTCTTGTCGTTAATATACGTTCACATGTCTCATGGACTGCTCCTTCCTCCAGGTTTATTTCAATCTACAGAGGATCCAGCCACACCTACAAGGTCCAGAGACTGATGGAATTCACATGCTACTCCTTCAGAATCCAGGCAGCCAGTGAGGCTGGGGAAGGGCCCGTCTCAGAAACTTACACCTTCAGCACAACCAAAAGTGTCCCTCCCACCCTCAAAGGTTAGTAGACAGCATGTGCTCTCATGCTGGCCTGTGAGAGCCAGCAACTGTTGGGACATTGGAGGAGGCCTCTTTCCGACCTTAAATATACTCTCCTAATATTTCTAATATCAGCAAGATAAACTCACAAGAACATTCTAAAAAGAGGGCTGGGCAGTGGGTTGTGTGGGGAAAACGAGAGGCCTTGAAAGGGCTTGCAGATCGTGACTTTTCTCATTATGTATAAATGCTTACTACAGATAATGGTTAGACATGAAGGTCAGATTCCTTAGAGATCTTAAGACAGTTTACCAAGGCAGAGACTCTCCTTCCTCAGACGTTGAGAGCACAGAGGTTGACCTTCGTCTGTGGGTGGCTTTAGTGCCTAGAAACCATCTCAGATAACTTCTGCAGCCCTTTCCTTCAGCCACGACTCTTGCTGGGGAGAGATGCCTTTGGAAAGCTGCCCCAGTGACCTGGCCTGATCTTGAGTGCTTGTCTTGGGGTATGTGGGTCACGGCTTTTCTACCCTGTCCCTTTATGGGATCGGGCGTTCCTGAAGTCATGAGACCCCTAGAGATCCATATCATCTCTCAAAGTGAGTGAACAGAGGCCACTCTGCCTGGACCTTCCTTCCACCGGGTCTACAGAGCCCTCAGCACCGTCTTTCTAGGCACACAGCTATGCCTGACCACAGCAGACTTGCCAGGCAGGAGACCCAGCAACAGGGGCTGGAGATTACTCAGCCCACCCCACCCACCCCCCGCCTTGGACTCCTGAAGCCATGCCCCATCTTGCACAAAGACTGTGCTTCTTGGGGAGGTCCCTGTTGCTTGTCTTTAAGGAGCAGTCAGCATGTTACTCAGAATGGCCTTGAGGCCAGTGGGGGTGAGTGCAACTGTAGAGAAAGTCGTGCATGCCTGTGGCCGTTTGACTTGCTGCTTCCCTGGGGAGGAGCTGTATTAGCTGCTACCAGGCAGAGTCAGTTACAGGAAGCTCCTGGATCAGGGTTTGGCTCGGAGTCTGCACAGGGCTCCTCCCAGGACTGGTTCATGGCAAATACCTTCCCGTCCTTCCCTGCTGTGCAGGGTCTTTGGCAGCTCCTTTAGGTGACCGTGAAACTCATGTGAATGTGTGCACACACTCATAGCCTTGCTGTGTCACTTGGGCAATAAATGCCCTGGCCCTGAGGGCAGCTTCGCCTTTCAGCTGTAACAGCGAAGATTCTGAGCACACTGTGGCTGACTGGCTTGTTGGCACTACCAGGAAGAGGTTGCCACAGTTACGAATAAGTAAACTTCAGGGATCTTTCTGGTATTGAGAAGCACTAACTCTCGTAGTGAACCTTAGCGGGAAAATAGAAGGATGTAGTGATAGCATGTGCATTTCAAGGCACTTCTGCTTCAGGAGGGCAGGTTCCTGACTGACACATGATCACGTTGTCTTCCTCTCACTCGTAGATTTGGGAAGTTGTTGTCTTAGTTGGAGGACTGTTTAGTCTAATAGGAGGGGGTCCTTATTTCGTTTTTTCATAAATTGCTTGGAGTTCTGCCAAGTATTCCCAACGTACGCTTGGTTTGTGTGGGGGTTTTTTGAAAAGTATTTTTCTTAGACAGTATCATTCAGAATTGCAAGTAGAAGCAATGGCATCCGGCTGGGCTCAGTGGCTCAGCCTGTAATCCCAGTACTTTTGAGAGGCCTAGACGAGTGGATTACCTGAGCCTGTGATTTGAGACTCACCCAGGCAACTTGGCAAGACCTCATCTCTACAATAAATCAAGAATTAGCCAGGCATGGGAGTACACACCTGTAGTTCCGGCTACTTGGAAGGCTGACGTGGAAGGATCGTTGGAGCCCAGCAGGTCGAGGCTGCAGTGGCCAGGAGTGTGCCACTGCACTCCAATCTGGGCGTCAGAGTGAGACTCCAACTCAAAACAAAAAAACAAACAAAAAAAGAAACACTGGCATCTAAATAATTAATTGCATGTAATTAGAGATTAAAGTTTAAGGGAGTTCACAGAGAGGAGTTGCACATTCTAGTTACAAAATAGAAAAATATCAGATATTGAAGCAAACTGTAAAGATATAAGCTAAGAGAAAATCTTTTTAAGAGCTATAATGTTTAAGTATTTTACTACACACTAATAAAATTTGCTTTAAATGAGAATGGTGAGTCCAGTGGGTGGAAAAAAAACTAAAAATGTAGTATAATAAAATAATTTAATTTGTAAAGTCTTTCAGTGCTGCCTGTTCTCTGGGATTTCTCTCCAATGTCATCTGCTTCTCAGACCCTCCTGAAATCCTCACCCAAATGTGCCCTTTCCCTCCACTGGAAATTCCCAGCATTTTGTTCTGCCTTGTGTTTCTTTTTGTACGTGCCTCATACCTTGCTCTCCCCATCCTTCAACTAGATCTTAAGTTCCCAGAAAAACAGGGTTTTCAAGAATACCTAGCACAGGACCCAAACCGTAGAAGTTAGTCTGTGGGAGAGGCTGGGCACATAAACTCCCCTCTTGGGGCAGATGCTTGGTCTTATTCTCTGGGTTCTCACTAGTAATGCTAAAGTTTGACTGTTAATATGATACTTTGAATTTTGAGCCTGGATATGTGGATTTGTATTTCAGCACCTCGAGTAACACAGTTAGAGGGAAATTCGTGTGAAATTTTGTGGGAGACGGTACCACCAATGAAAGGCGACCCTGTTCACTACATTCTGCAGGTTTTGGTTGGCAGAGAATCCGAGTACAAGCAGGTAAGAATTGGCATGCATAGCACGTATGCAGCTGATCAGGCTGGTTCCTTGCCTCTGCCCGTCACTGTAAACGATTCCGTGAACTACATGTTTCTTAAAATCAAGGTAGAAAATGTCTATCATGTACCTGTTACCTAATTCTTCAGGTTATATAAGCCCTGGTTTATATTTCATTTTGCATATGGTGGTCCTCATCTTAAATTTTCAGTTCTCAAGCACAAGCTTGTCTTATAAAACGTACAAATTGTTTACTTGTATTTGACATTGGCAGTGATGTCTGTGATTGAAAACTTGTGGTGTTACTATAGAAGGGAAGTAGTCTTGGCCTGACTGCTGAAGCCTATGTCCTGTCCACCTTTTTTATGGACTTAGTGGAAGGCTAAGGGAGATGACGCACAGGCCCTTGAAGCCTGGGATTCAGGAGCTCTGAGTCATGCTTGTCATAGGAATCACCTGGGAATCTGTTAAAATGCAGATTCTGAGGGATAGGTCTTGAGTGGGCGTTCAGGCTACCAGGTGACACTGACATTGCTGGTCCGTGAACTGTAATGTGAGTAGCAAGGCTTTGTAAATCACATGACAAATCTGTGCAAGAGAGAATGTCATTGGAATAGAACCAGATAAAATATTTATTTTTGTCATTTTTCATACCCCTTGCCGATCCTTCATTCTTCCCAAGAAGAATCAGGTCACTGACTCTGAAGGATTCAGATACTCTATTAGCTTCCATAATGGTCCCTGGAACTTAACAAATGTTTTTGTGAAACCAGGATATAATACTGTTTATTTCGCTAGGAAAGCAGAGGCCCATTATTTACCAGCATTTTTAATATGGGCATTCATTTATACCAAACTTACAAAGACGAAGATAAATGCCACCTGTCCTCTGAAACATTCGTGTAATTTGCGAAAACACTTCTTTATTTAGCTCGAAATACATAAGACAAGTCAGAAATAATTTAATTCAGAGTTTTTGTTAAATTGCTGCTTGATGTTTCTTATATATATAATAATGAGGAATACGTGCATATAAAATGTGTTAAAAAATTAAAAGAAATTTTGGATGTTTTGCTGTACTTTGTTAATATGAAGTGCCAGATAAAGGACTGATTTGTTTTTAACACAAACACTTTACCTTACATATGATATCTACTGATATTGATTAACATCAGTGGATGATGTCACCAAAGTTCCCATCATCCTCTTAAATAAGAACAAAGACACCATGGTTTCCTTTCACCTTCCAATCTCATTTTACAGTATATCCCACTTCAGATTAAATAATTGTTTCATCTTAAAAGAAAGGTCTGATTGGTTTCAGAGTCTTAGCCCAAATAAATGGCAGAGAATGTGTCCCACTTGGTTGAGTTATCTTTCCTCACCAGTTGCATTGTCCCATTCCTCAGCGATGTCAAAATGGTTAAAATATGAGGTGTTGAGAAATCACTTGACATGTAGCAATAATTCACTTCTCAGCAGTACATTCATTGCACATTTGTATCTTAAAAATCTTTTATTCCACGTACCATTTTTTCCACCTGTTCTTGGAAAAATATTGTGCCTCTCAAAACACAGTGACTGCTGTTTCACATTGAAAGGGCAGCAGTATCTGCTTGGTATCTATGCCCATCAAGCATTGCCAGAATTTAGGTGAATCTGTTCAGTAATTGAGGTTTTATTGGCACGTGGGCTGTTTTGAATCTGTTGTTCATTTAATGTTATGTATTTAGCCTCATGAGGCCCATGAATGATGCATAATCATGTATGTGCCACAGAATATTTTTCTTATCGGAAACAGAGGTAAACAACCGTGTCTTGTGAACAGGTGGAAACACAGCACTATAAGGCAGGCACAGTGGTGGGGATTAGCATTCTGCACGTGTCCATGTGCTTCCCACATTTACCAAGAAATGATTAAGACAAGTAGTAGTACATGGAGAGCCACAGTTGAATCAGGGACAGTTTGTACTCTTGTTTTTGTTTGGTTTTGACTTCTCCCTATTCAGGGAGTATTAACTTAAACATGATGTTTTGCGTACTTTATTCACTTGTTCTGGACATGAGCTAGGGAATAAAACCTGTTTATATGTGCAGAACAGTGGTTAAAATAACTACAGTCCAGGGATAACAGGTGATGGGCGTTGAATCCATAGAGGCAAAGCAAAATAAAATGAGAGATCGCTGTTGCCGCACGACCATCACAGCTGAGCCGCAGGCTCACAGTGTGTACCCAGTTACAGCCCTCTTCTGACTGGATGCACTAATGTGTGGGCTCATGCTGTTCATTTTTATCTTTCTGGGACTGGCACATAGTTTGGCACTCAGTAAATGTGTCTTGCATGCATGAAAGAGGCAGTTTTGAAGTATCAGTTTCTTTGTACCTAAAGTGAAGATAAGCGTAAGCTTCAACATGGCATGTGTTTAGAAGTTAGGTTTATTATTTAGCTGAAAAAAAATCACCCATAATAGAACGTCCTCTTCCCCAAGCTCATTTTTATTGGCAATATATGATGAGGCTATGGCCTTTCCTGATGTTTCACTTTGCCAGTTTCATCAGTGGTCATGATGTGAGGCAGGCAGCTGGTTTTAAACAATCTGTAAAAGTATTAAATCCTTTCATGAAATTTTACTCTGTTAGATTGCGTGCATATTGGTTTGGTTTTTCTGCCATTTAATAGACAGTCCAAGCACAAGTTTTGGGAGTTTTGTTTGTTTGTTTGTTTGTTTGTTTGTTTTAAGAAGCTTAAAACTTCAAGCAGGAATAACTGTAAAGCATTCTTGAAGAGGATGAAAATTGTGTGTATATGCATGCAACTGACTATTTTGCACAAGTTATGGCATAGCCTGTTTAATATATACATATGGAAAAAAGCAAAATGATTCATATCCCTCCCTGGTCATACATCAATAACTTTACAAAAAAATATAAATATAAGCATTGAAGATGAGAAGAGGGACCGCAAACTGCAAGAAAGTGTTACCAAACTATTCTTGGTGTTCAGATTTGTTGTATTAAGAAGAAAACCTGAGAAGCATCTAAAAAATCTATAAAGTTCTACATTTAATTTGATGGCATCTCTATGAATATATCTTTATCTTGTATCATTTGTGGAATGTAGTACTGAGACATGCATTATTCCTTCCTGGTATCACAAAACATACCAGGAAAAAGCTTCTCTTAGGCAAACTATTTTGATGTACTGGAGCATACAGCAGCTCCTGGGGCCTCCATTATTTTTTGATGACTTTCAACTCATTTTCCTAGTAAAGAAATAAAACAACGAGGCCACATTTTTTTTTTTAATTTTTGGATGAATAAAGGGTCAGATTCAAAACAAAAATAGATTTAGATGGATGGAGATATTTAAAAGTCATTTATTTTACCGATTCTTTTATTTTTAGGTTTCCAGGTCACTAAGTATCTGAAGGCCAAGATCCCTTCCAACAGAAAAAATTCTATGCATGTGTTCACTTAAAATTTCATATGAGATAAATTGATGTGCAGTGTTATGAAGTCCAAGTATAGGATCCCTGGTTTATTGAGAAGCTGTGGGGTGTTTTGTATCGTGAGGGATGCCTAACATAGGACTTGAGAGTTTAGAAGGCCCAATGAGTGAAAAAACAATAAAGCAGTTCAGGAACAGTACCCTTGCCTGTTGTCTTTACTCAAGAACGAAGTTGTCTGCCCAATATTATGTCTATAACAGAGGAGACCTACAGGTTAGCAGAGCAGAGTACCTCTTGAGCCTGAGGGACCCAAGGGGTGAGCTATGGGGACAAGTCTGTCTCTCATAATTGTGTGATATTGGAGAAATGAATTCACTTTGCCGAGCCTCGGCTTTCTCATTGTAAAGTAGAGGCAGTAACCCTCTAACTCTAGTAATCACTGTGGTGTGAGCATGAGACCCATCCAGTCATGAGAAGGAGCTGTGTAGATGGTGCCAGACTGAAGTTGGGTCTCCCTTTCTAGTTCTGGGGAGGAGGCGACATTGGCATCGAGGTGCACTGACTCAGCCTCTCCCCACAAAGCTCTCTGTTATATACAGGATTTCAACCACACCTCATGTGATTTTGAATTAGGGTTATGAATTCCTCATGTCAGCTATCTGGATATTACTTTACATCCTCCCGTTTGGAGTAACATGTCGAAATTACTTAAAAATATATTGTTCATCAGATCAAGAATAGAGATAGTCTTGGTAAAAATAGCATTACTTCTTTACTTGCTGCAATATTATGATTGGTTACTTCAATAAAGAAAATCTCAAGTGGCGCTCTGCCCTTTAAATTGGATTGAAGCAAGAGGAGAAGGCTGTAATGGCACCCCTGTCAAATGAATGAAAACATAGGGATCCAAAGCATCACTTATGCCTGATGTGCAGAGCCGCACGTCTGTGGAAAGTCACTCAGCGGAGGCACCACTGCATGGCAGGCCTGACAGCCTTGAGCCTTTGTGACAGCATCAGTCCCTTAGTACTGTGGGCTGTAAGTGCCATAGCCATGCTATGGACACCAGGACAGCATCATCAGGCTCCCTTCAGCTGGCTTCTGTGAGTCTTGTATTTGCAGGCCCACGGTGCCCTGGCACCAAGCATCTGTCCTAGAGCATTACCCATAGTTCCTGCCGGGGCCCCAGGGAAGCATAGTCCACTAGCAGTTCAGCACTCTGCATAATGTATTGTGTTGCCATTCCTTAGATGCCTGCCACATGCCAATTGCCGTCCTCAGAGATTGCTGTCTATTATCACACTGGCTCTTATCAATAATTCCATGAGACCCAGTATTATCTTCATGGGGCAGAGGTGGTTTCTTACCTTATCAAGGAACAAGTGTTACAACGGTGTTGAATTAGTCATCAATGATTTGGGCTTCTTAGTGGTATCTGGGGCTTTTGGATCTCCTATTTTTGTTTTAAGTTTTCATCAGTTACAGTTCATAACATAGGTTCACATGTGGAATAACTCAAATAATTATTCTCATTTCATTATATAAAATATGAT